ATTTGGGACGGTAGCGGTTTCAGATGGCTTCTCGGTGGTATGCATGTCCGCTAGGGACGGTTTGGGTTTCTGATGGCTTCTCAGTGGTGGGCGTGTCCACTGGGGACGGTAGTGGTTTCTGATGGCTTCTCAGTTGTAGGCGTGTCCATTAGGGGCGGTAGGGGTTTCCCATGGCTTCTCAGTGGTAGGATGTGTCCGCTACGGCGGTAAATGTTTCTCATGGCTGCTCAGTGGTGGGCGTATCCGCTAGGGATGGTAGACGGTTCCCGATTGCTTCACCGTGGTAGGCATGTCTGTTACGGCGGTAGGGGTTTCCGATGGCTTCTCGGTGGTAGGCGTGTCCACTATGGACGTTAGTGGTTTATCATGGCTTCTCAGTGGTAGGCGTGTCCGCTTGGGACGGTAGGGGTTTCCCATGGCTTCTCAGTGTTAGGCCTGTCCGCTAGGGACCATAGGTTCTTCCGATGGCTTCTCAGTGGTAGGCGTGTCCGCTAGGGGCGGTAGGGGTTTCCGATGGCGTCTCAATGGTACGTGTTTCCGCTACAGCAGTAAGTGTTTCTCATGGCTGCTCAGTAGTGGGCGTGAACGCTAGGGACGGTACGGGTTTGCGATGGCTTGTCGGTGGTAGGCGTGTCCGCTACAACGGTAAGGATTTTCTCATGGCTACTCAGTCGTGGGCGTTTCCGCTACGGACGGTAGGTGTTTCCGATGGCTTCTCAGTGATAGGCGTGTCCGCTTGGGACGGTAGGTGTTTCCGATTGCTTCTCAGTTGTAGTCGTGTCCATTAGGGACGGTAGGGGTTTCCGATGGCTTCTCAGTGGTATGCAAGTTCGCTAGGAGCGGTAAGGATTTCCGATGGCTTTTCAGTTGTAGGCGTGTCCGATAGGGACGGTAGGTGTTTCCGATGTCTTCTCAGCGGTAGGCGTGTCCGTTACGGCGGTAAGGGTTCCTCATGGCTGCGGGCGGTCGGGTAGCTTAGTGGTTAAAGCATTCGCTCGTCACGCCGAAAACCCGGGTTTGATTCCCGACATGGGTACAATGTTTGAAGCCCATTTCTGGTGTCCCCTGCCGTGATATTGCTGGAATATTGCTTAAAGCGGCGTTAAACCATACTCACTCACTCACTCCTCATGGCTGCTCCGTGGTGGGCGTATCCGCTAGGGATAGTAGAGGGTTCCCGATGGCTTCGCTGTGTTAGGCATGTCCGATAGGGACTGTAGGGGATTCCGATGGCTTCTCAGTGGGAAGGCGTGTCCGGTATGGCAGTAAGAGTTTGCCATGGCTACTCAGTGGTAAGTGTGTCCGCTAGGCACGGTAAGGGTTTCTCATGGCTACTCAGTGGTAGGCGAGACTGCCAGGGACAGTTTGGCTTTCCGATGGCTTCTCAGTGGTAGGCGTGTCCGCTAGGGGCGGTAGAGGTTTCAGATGGCTTCTCAGTGGTAGGCGTGTCCACTGGGGACGGCAGGGGTTGCCGATGGCTTCTCAGTTGTAGGCGTGTCCATTAGGGACGGTAAGGGTTTCCCATGGCTTCTGAGTGGTATGCATGTCCGCTAGGGGCAGTAGAGATTTCCGATGGCTTCTCAGTTGTAGGCGTGTCCGCTAGGGACGGTAGGTGTTTCCCATGGCTTCTCAGTGGTAGACGGGTCCGCTACCACGGTAAGGATTTTCTCATACCTACTCAGTAGTTGGCATGTCCACTACGGCGGTGAGGGTTTGTTATGGCTACTCAGTGGTAGGCGTGTCTGCTAGGCACGGTAAGGGTTTCTCATGGCTACTCAGTGGTGGGCGTTTCCGCTATAGACGGTAGGTGTTTCCGATGGCTTCTCAGTGGTAGGCGTGTCCGCTAGGGACGGTAGGTGTTTCCAATGGCTTCTCAGTCTTCGTGTGCACGCTATGGCAGTAAGGGTTTGTCATGGCTCCTAAGTGGTAAGCGTGTCCTAAGTTGTAAGCATGTCAGTGGTGGGCGAGTCTCCAAGGGACGGTAGGGTTTTCTGATGGCTTCTCAGTGGTAGGCGTGCCTGCTAGGGACGGTAGATGTTTCCGATGGCTTCTCAGTCTACATGTGTCTGCCTATGGCGGTAGGGGCTGCTCATGTCTTATCAGTGGTAGGCGTGTCCACTAGGGGCGGTAGGGGTTTGCGATGGCTTCTCAGTGGTAGGCATGTCCATTAGGGACGGTAGGGGTTTCAGATGGCTTCTCAGTGGTATGCATTTCAGCATTTCCGATGGCTTGTCAGTTGTAGGCGTGTCCGATAGGGACGGTAGAGGTTTCCGATGGTTTCTCAGTGGTGGGCGTGTCCGATATAGACTGTAGGGGTTTCCCAATGCTTCTCAGTGGAAGGCTTGTCTGCTTGGGATGGTAGGTGTTTCCGATGGCTTTTCTGTCTACGTGTGTCCGCTATGGCTGTACGGGTTTCTCATTTCTTATCAGTGGTGACGCTGGTGACGGTAGGGGTTTCCGATGGCTTTTTAGTGGTAGGTGTGTCCGCTAGGGGCGGTAGAGGTTTCAGATGGCTTCTCAGTGGTAGGCGTGTCCACTGGGGACGGTAGGGGTTTCCGATGGCTTCTCAGTTGTAGGCGTGTCCGCTACGGCGGTAAGAGATTCTCACGGTGGGCTTTTCCGCAGGGCACCTTTGGGATTGCTGATGGGCACTCAATGGTCGTCATGTCCTTTAGGGACAATAGGGGTTTTTCGTGACTGCTCAGTGGTGGGTGTGTCCGCTATGGACGGTAGGAGTTCTCATGTCTACCCACGGGTGGGTGTGTCCGCTATGGACGGTAGGGGTCTCTCACTGTAATGATTAAAACTGTACCCTTGATTCAGAACCTGTATGAAATCCAGCCTGTGCTTCTCAGTGGTGGGCATTTCAGCTACTCTACATTTCATGCCTACTCAGTGGTCGGTGTGTTCGCAAGGGATGGTTGGGGTTTCTCATGGCTGCTCAGTTGTGAGCGTGTCTACAGGGGACGGTAGGGGTTTTCCGTGTTACTCTGTAATGGGCGTGTCCACTAGGGACAATGTGGATTTTTCATGGCTACTCAGTTGTGGGCATGTCCGCTAGGGACGTTATTTAATTAGGACATTCTCATGGCCAATCTGTTGTGGGCGTGCCCAGTAGGGATGGTAGGGGTTTCTCATGGCTACTCAGTGGTGGGCTTTTCCGCAAGGCACCTTAGGGATTGCTGATGGCCACTCAATGGTGGGTGTGTCTTTTAGGGACAATATGGGTTTTTCGTGAGTATTCAGTGGTAGGTGTGTCCGCTAAGGAGGGAACGGGTTTATCACGGCTACTCAGTTGTGGGCGTGTCCACTAGGGACGGTAGGGGTTTTATCATGGCTAATAAGTGGCGGCTTTTCCGCAAGGCACTTGAGGGATTGCTGATGGCTACTCAGTGGTGGGTGTGTCCGCTAGGTAGGGAAGGGGTTTATCAAGGCTACTCAGTTGTGGGCGTGTCATCTAGGGACGGTAGGGGTTTCCAAAGGCTACTCTGTGGTGGGCGTGTCCGTCAGGGACGGTAGGGGTTTCTCATGGCTTTTCAGTTGTGGGCGTGTCGTCTGGGGGCGGTAGGGGTTTCTCAATGCTACTAAGTTGAAAAAGTTTGAAGAATGATGTTGGATGATAAGTAAAATTTCACCCCCGTATCTTTTAATATCAAATTTATCAACACTCGTTGCTAAAAGAGGACACCCCTGGTGAAATATTGTATATAAAAAAAAACCACCCGGGTGAGATTCTCTATTTCTCATAATGTGTCCTCGTGGGCTATTGACACTTCAGGGATGTACCCTCTATTCATATGACCATTCTGAAATCTTTCCTGCTTGGATTTGTATGCCATCTAAATGTGATTGTTACGCAATCTGGGGGTATACCTTCTTTGGGGATTTTATTGCCACAAATTTTCACAGTTTTCTTTGTTCAGTTAGAGTCCTACAACACCAAAGTTTTCAAGGACATTGATCAGGTTATCCACGATTATCATGTCATTAATGCTTGTGTCCATGCCTAGTTGTGTTTCATCTAGTGAAATATCCTGTGGTAACCTCTGGATCGATGCTGAACAATGGGCCTGCTGAAGGGTGACAGCGAATGGGTTTGAGAGTTTGGTTAACTCAGGATGTTGGTGGTCCAGCTTCAGCAGCCAATATCTTTGATGGATAATCCACTTTACTGCAGACTTGCTGTTGCAAACGTTGATGTTTCTTCACCTGTTGGTAGATTGAAGAGAATAGTCTTATTTAGATTCTTGGGGTCCAGGTGAATGGTTTTTCCCTCTCATGTGAACGACCACCAGTGGCATGACCGACTTTGTTAGATCTTTGACTTCAAAGCCTTCATGTGATTGAATTATTTCTCAAATGGATATCTTACTGAGTAGGGGATTTGCTTCATGGTTCTACAACTGGCTTAACGCTTTCCTTCAGTGTGATGTGGAGGCATCCTCCCAGCCCACAAAACACTTCCGAATGTAGGTCGAAAATCTCGTCACTTCATATTGCCCCATGACAAGAGCTAGTCTCTCGAGGTCTTGTAACCAACAAACTGCTTGTTATTCTTCACAGTTATGACGAAAGTGGAGGAGTATGTCCGGCCCTAGTTCTACTTCAGCATGGCCTTGTTCCTGGACCTTGTTCGCTTCTGTAAGATGTCACTTTGATGCTGGAATACTGCAGCTCTTTGCCATTGTACTCATGATGTTTATGTTTGCACCGGGATCCAGTTTGGTTGAAATGTCCTGAATTTTAATTCGCATTTTTAGAAGTTGGTTAGCGAAATTAAGATACTTTATGGATGACAAGTTCTTTGCTCTTTTAAGATGTGACGATTTGGTACGCTTGACAATCGTATAAGGATCTGTACCGAATCATCGCATCGTATTAGAATATAGAAGTCATCGATACAATATCTTGTTTAAACCAATACTATTAAGATATGTATCATATTACAGTGTAACTTTGTTACTGTTCTAGATGTATTACACATGCTTTCCCTGGTACAGATTGATGAACGCAAGTTCCTGGAGACGAAGACCTGCCCCTCGTCCATAGTGGCTGAGTGTAACAAAGCTAAATCAGCCTTCAACATCAACTGGCGCACCACATCCTGGTCAGACCTGAGGAAGCCTCTGTACTCCGGGCTGGCAGCGGCTCTCTACATAAAGAAGTATCACAGCAGCAGCCCTCCCGGTGACGTCAGCAGTCAGGCCTCGTTCTGGGCCTCAAAGCTGAGACCGAGTGGCAGCCAGTCTGGATTCGTTACAAAAGCCAGAGCAATGAAAGGAATTGGTATGCTGTTAACTTATTATATGGTTTTATTAAATCTTGACATGGAGGACTCCATTCTGCAAAGCTTCCGTAGCACTAAGGTGATCATAACTCTCACACTTTAACGTAGACGTTCAACATTCGTAGCTAAGATTACTTTTTGGAACAGGAACAGACTAAACATGCAGAACATTTCATTGATACATTTGTGTTTCACCAGATTGCAAGACTCAGCTTGACCTTGCATTCATCCTGGACGGTTCTGGGAGCGTATCAAGAAGTGACTTTAATCACATGATCAAGTTCGTGGAAAATGTGACGAAAAATCTAGACATATCGGAAGATGAGGTAAAAGGGTCTACTGTTGAATATGCTTCCTCAGTTGGAGATGATATTGAATTCAAAGACTTTGCATCCAAAAGCAGCTTGGTGTCTGCCATAGCTAAAATCAGAAAGAGTGGTGGTGGCACCAACACAGCTGCAGCCATCCTCCACACTGTCAACGTCCTGTTCAGACCAGCAGCAGGTGCGCGGCCAAATGCCAAGCGTGTAGCGATCCTTATGACTGACGGCAGGTCAAACAGTAAAACAGCTACTATCAGTGCTGCTAAGAAGGCTAGAGGTGCAGGTATTACCATGATATCTGTCGGTATAGGAAACGCTGATGAGGCTGAATTGAGGGGCGTGGCCACAGATCCTTACTGTACCCACGTGATCATGCTCAACAGCTTCAGGGAGATTGACAGTCTCCTGTACCAACTGAAGGAAAGTTCCTGTGGAGGTAGGTAGTTGTTAAAAACCAAAATTGGAGGATTAGGAACAGTGTTTTAACAAAATCTAACAAAAGCTTTAACTATGCTAGCAATAATCTAATACTCCAAAAATGATGAGGGGAAAGTGCGTCTGACAGCATGATTCCCTTTTGTTCATATTGTGAAACGAAAGACCCAATACATTGCAAACACTCAATGTTTAATAGTCATTGGTTTCCTTAGCCCTGACTGCAGTGGAGGTGAACACGACCATCAACACAACACTACCTGTGAACCAGACTGTGGAGGACGCATTTGAATTTAAGGACGATAACACCACAACACCCGACTCAGGCAAAGAAAAAGCAGTGGTAAGTAGCAGTGACTCTGGACCGTTCCCGTACAGATTGTACAATTAGAAATCAGCCAGTAGTCGGTTCTTCAATGCCTAATCTGATGCCGGCGTCAGTGCGTACACTCTATCATCCTTCACTACTCTGCTGTGTAATTCCGAAGAAAGTAAACTTTCAGACCGATAATCAAATGTGGTCGTTTATCAGGAGATTCAAAACTCTTTCTAAACCCAAGGCTGTTGTCAATGTTGTGAACGATGTGAAGTGGCAGCAATGACATCAGCGATGATTAGCACCCTCATCGCTTGAGTCGTTGGTTAAGGGACTACACCAAAGTGGCCCAATGTATTGACGGGTGATGGAAATTATTGTCTACAAACACATCAAATGTTGACGATGATTTCATAGTTAAGTTTGATAGTCCTGTTCTTCAGTATCTGTCTTGTTCAAGGTCTATTCTGCAAACTGTCAGTACCGTTTCGTTCTCCTGGGTTAATGACACCTTCATAATCTATGTTTACTAGTGCCCCTAGTAACTCACCCTTATTGTTACTACACAGGTGGGCGAGGTGGTGTGTGGCACTCTCAAAATGTACGCTTCCTACACCATTCGTCGTCCAGGCCCCGCCTACTATGACGTCAAAGAGACTGCAAGTGATAACAAACCTGGCGTCATCTTCTTTAACAAGACGATGAAGGGGAGACAACTGTACATTACTGTCATTGGAACTCGGTTGTCTGTATTAGTTGCCCAGTTGGCTTCGTGTGTCAACGCCAGTTTCAGCGTGCGGATTTCCCAGCAACCAACAAGTGGGTCACCTTCAGCGTTAGACAAGGACACTAGTCCGTTAGTCTCGGACCAAAGGGACCAGATCTTATCCACCAAAATCTAGATATTTTACATAAACCATCAGTCCGAAATGAACAACGGGATATTTGGATTTTACAAACGTTATCGGCTCCTGAGTAGCGGAAGTAACCTGATTTGACACATGGAATAAGATATATTTTTAAAGATACAATCGCTTCTACCTACGTTGTAGGCATTCTGCATTGTTTGCCAGAGGGATTAGTGTCTAAATGTCTTTATAGACTTCGTGGGGCAGTTAATGGTCTTCTTCAAATGACAATGCCCTGAAATATAGAGTTACCCTTATAGCAATATTTCTCTACATTGTTTTGTCTCAACAGAGGCCCAGATAATCTGTAAGGAAGGCGGGAAGGAAAGGCCGTGCTCCAAGAAGGACTTGGAGGACAACGGATACAACTGTGATGGTGCGGTTTTATTAAATTTTGGACGTTTACACAAACCATCTAACGTGTGGCAGGTGGTGTATATGACTCACATTTGTCTTCATAGGTTAAGCAGTCAGCTCATGCCGTATTTGCTCATAATTATTATGTTGATTCTTATGACTTTGTTTCAGCTCTCATTTGAGTGGTATATCTTCACATAACTTAGTACATAACTCAGTATATAACTCAGTATATAACTCAGTATGTAACTCAGCATATAACTCAGTAAATAACTCAGTATGTAACTTAGCATATAACTCAGTATATAACTCAGTATGTTACTCAGTATGTGACTTAGCATATAATCCAGGATATATCTCAGTATATAACTCAGTACATAACTCAGTCCATAACTCAGTACATAACTCAGAATGTAACTCAGTATATAACTCAGTATGTAACTCAGTATATAACTCAGTATATAAGTCAGTATGTAACTCAGTATGTAACTCAGTATGTAACTTAGCATATAACTCAGTAAATAACTCAGTATATAACTCAGTATGTAACTCAGTATATAACTCAGTATATAACTCAGTATGTAACTCAGTATGTAACCTAGTATATAACTCAGTATGTAACTCAGTATGTAACCTAGCATATAACTCAGTATGTAACTCAGTATATAACTCAGTATATAACTTAGTTTGGAACTCAGTATATAACTCAGTATGTAACTCAGTATGTAACTCAGTATATAGCTCAAAATATAACTTAGTATATAACTCAGTAAATAACTCAGTACATAACTCAGTATATAGCTCAACATATAACTTAGTATATAACTCTGTATATAACTCAGTAAATAACTCAGTATATAACACAGTATGTAACTCAGAATATAACTCAGTGATAACTCAGTTTATACCATCACATGACAACGTTAACAATACTTCTTGTCTGTGTAGAAGGGATATTTACAAGAGTTTATGTGTTTCAGATACATTCTACAATGTTACCAACCCTTGTTCCCCTGGCAACGCCTGTGACCACGCCCACACCTCTGACTGAGTGGGGTATTCATGTTAAACTGCGGCATGGTATCTCAGTGAGCTAGCACTATAAATCGGCATCAGTCCGGACTAGTACAAGCAGCCACACACACACATACACGTGCATGCACGTCGCTATATAAGTGCAATAATCTTGGACGCGACGTTAAACCCAATTTCACCTCACCTCACACCTCTGACTCCACCAAGTTCATCCGGTGCGACCTCAAGGGCAACATGTACGTCACCCAATGTCCCGGCAAAGCCCACTACAACCCTGACACAATCAGCTGTGGGTCGGAACCAGTCGAGGGAGGGATCTCCTGCAATGTCACCAATCCATGCACTCCTGCAAATATTGCCAAGCATCGATTCGACTTCCCCTACCCGCCAAACCCGTCCAGGTACATCCGGTGTGATGCATTTGGGAAACTGTGGATGAGGGATTGTCCCAGCGGCACAGTATGGGATGACGCCAGGAGATCGTGTACTGGCCAATCTGGGGTGAAACCATCCGCCCTCGGAACCTCCACCCCCTCCATCTCCCAAGTCACCCCTGTCTCCACCGGCTGCAACGGCAACAACAACGGCGCACTGCTCCCCCACGCTGACCCAAATAAGTACATCCTCTGCAACCACGGTACGGAGGTGGTGATGTCCTGTCCTCCGTCACTCAAGTTTGACGTCAGCATCAAGCGCTGCAACTATGGCTAGCGGCCGCACTGTACCGGCACGTGTCACGTACTGAACGAAATAAAATGACAGTGGCAACCAGTGCATTGTTGTGTATGTCCCATAGAGTTATTTCCCCTTGTCTGTCATTGCTTCTACAGTTTCATTCCCGTATCAGTTTCACAAGTTAAATAAACGGAATGGACAAATGGTGAGTGAGTGAGTGAGTGAGTGAGTGAGTGAGTGAGTGAGTGAGTGAGTGAGTGAGTGAGTGAGTGAGTGAGTGAGTGAGTGAGTGAGTGAGTGAGTGAGTGAGTGAGGTTTTACGCCGCTTTTAGCAATGATGCAGCAATACCATGGCGGGGGACACCAGAAGTAGGCTTCACACGTTGTACCCATGTGAGGAATCGAATCCCGAGTGACAAGTGAACGCTTCCACCACTGGGCTACCCGACTGCCCCTTGCTACCTCAATCTGTTTTAACTCATATAAACTTGAAACTAGAAACTAATTTAGAACAATAAATGGGCCCCACTTCCTGGATCACATCTATTTTTCAACATATCTCACTTGCAGCAAATAGGCAGGTATACACAAGCATATTAATGTGCATGGGTTTTGATATAGTATCGGTATCGGCAAGGACTACAAAAAGACTGAGATGCACACTCTCGTGGAAAAGAAACTACACGAAGTAAAATATGGCATTAGCACCAGGATGGTGTAGGTTGTCCGTTATTCGATCACACCACCACACCACAATACAACATTATTATCATTCCAACATTGGCATAAGCATGGTGGAGGTTGTCCGTTATTCGATCATACCACCACACCACCACACCACGATACAACATTATTATCATACCACTATACAACCACACCACCACACCAAAATACAACATTATTATCATACCACCACACCACCACACCACCACACCACCACACCACCACACCACAATACAACATTATTATCATTCAACCACACCACAATACAACATTATTATCATTCCAACACACCACAATACAACATTATTATCATTCAACCACACCACAATACAACATTATTATTCCACCACACCACCACACCACAATACAACATTACTATCATTCCAACATAAGCATAAGGATGGCGTAGGTTGTCCGTTATTCGATCATACCACCACACCACCACACCACAATACAACCTTATTATCATTCAACCACACCACAATATAACATTACTATCATTCCAACACACCACAATACAACATTATTATCATTCTAACACACCACAATACAACAATATTATTCCACCACACCGCCATACAACATTATTATCATTCCAAAATAAGCATAAGGATGGTGCAGGTTGTCCGTTATTCGATCATACCACCCCACCACAATACAACATTATTATCATTCAACCACACCACAATACAACATTATTATCATTCCAACACACCACAATACAACATTATTATTCCACCACACCGCAATATAGCATTATTATCATTCCAACATACGCATAAGCATGGTGCAGGTTGTCCGTTATTCGATCATACCGCCACACCACAATACAACATTACTATCATTCTAACACACCACAATACAACATTATTATCATTCCAACACACCACAATACAACATTATTATTCCACCACACCGCAATATGACATTATTATCATTCCAACATAAGCATAAGGATGGCGTAGGTTGTCCGTTATTCGATCATACCACCACACCACCACACCACCACACCAGAATACTAATACCACCACACCACACCACAATACAACATTACTACCACACCACCACACCACAATACATAAGCATGGTGGAGGTTGTCCGTATTCGATCAAGCAATTAGCTGACGGCCCTCCTCAATCTGTGACGTCCCTGGTGAGGTGTCAAGGCCATTCCGGAGTGGGTCTGGAGGCACAGTCTCCAACACACCACAACTCAACAACACCAACACCAACACCAACACACCGACACATCACAAAGCAACATTATTGTCATACCACCACACCACAACACCACCATACCACAATACAACATTATTATCATTCCAACACACCACAATACTATGTTACCACATTACCACAACACAGCAATACCACCACGGAAGCGTGTATGACGTGTTTACCCTATAACAAGGTCACGTGCAGTGAGACAACAGATACTTGATGTGTCGAACAGGGCCGGCCCAGAATACATCGTCGTCACAAGTAATGTTTCAGATGCACTCTAAATCAAGGAAAGCAAACTGCAAATGATTTTTGTGTGACACAATGATAGACTTCCTAAGTTTGTTTACACATCTTAAGAAGTAGTATAAATGTGTTTTAGAAGTCTCGTTTCTTCTACCAAGTACATGTATCAAGTTGTGGCTGGTATCTGATATATGAACAGAAGGGGGAATACACGTATGTCTTATCATACAGCTTACAGATAAATAAAACATGTATTTCATCCTGATCATTACACCTTGATTCACATTAAATAGAAAACCTTTCTTTATGGGATGCAGATCTTCCAGGATCTTCGTGCACACCAACATGACTGGATTCAGATCTTCGAGGATCTCCGTGCAAACCAACATGACTAGATTCAGATCTTCGAGGATCTCCGTGCAAACCAACATGACTGAATTCAGATCTTCCAGTATCTTCGTGCAAACCGACATTACTTCATGAATACCCAACGCTCAGTTACCATTCATTTTTCATCTTTATCAACTCTTTGTTATACTTTTCTGAGTTTTTCATGTGCTATAGATATAGCTGTATGTATGCTTTTGGACAATGTTACACTCAACTCCCGCTCTCGCTCATATCCATCCATGTTCCCTAACTATACTGTACCTACGGGATATTCTCATTCATTCATTCATTGTGAGCACCTTGCTAGCATATCATCTCAAAACATGACTAAGATAAAGATAACATCTCTAAATTGTAGAGGTTTGAATAATAGGAAAACAAGGAGGGAAATGTTTAGATTCTTGAAAAAGAAGCGCTCATCTATATACTGCTTAAAATATGTTCACTCTACTGAAGATATGGAAAAGTTAGTAACGGAAGACTGGGGCTGTAAACACCGCTTCTACAGTTCCTATAGCAGTAATTCAACAGGTGCTGCTATCCTATTTGCTAAAAATATAGACTTTGCTCTTGATAATGTTGTAAAAGATAATGATGGTAATAGTTTAATCGTCGAAATCACAATCGATAAATATAAGTTAGCTATCATCAACCTTTATGGTCCGAATGTTGACGACCCTACCTTTTACAACGATCTTGAAACAGCGATAAAATCACTAAATAGCGATCATATAATTATCTGTGGAGATTGGAATGTAGTTCAAGATTATTACTTTGACACCTTCAATTATAAACACAAAAATAATCCAAAAGCGAGAGGATTCTGGAAATTTTAAAACTCGCTTCTCAGGGACAAAGACTATGTAGCTATTGTCCAAAAAACAATATCGGAAAAAAAATTAACAATACAAGAACTATGACTCTACTGACAGAGACTTTACCATAGACGACCAGATGTTTTTCGAAATTCTTTTCTTGCAGATAAGGGGCGAGACTATTAAATATTCATCTTACAAAAAAAAAAAAAACGAGAAACAGAATCTAAGATTAATGAGTTAACCGAGGACATGGATGCAACGAACGACACTGAAGCCTAATCTAAGATATTAAAGGAAATTGATACGATAAATGAAAAATTAAAATATAATTATAAGATCAAAACGCAAGGGCTTATGATAAGGGCAAAAGTAAACACAGTCGAAAAGGGGGAAAAAACAACCAAATATTTCTTATCGTTAGAGTCTAGAAATTTCCTAAATAAATCTTTCTCTTGTCTTCAAAACGAGTATGGAGATGTTTTAACAAATCAACAGGAAATTCAAGAAGAAATTAGAAAATTCTGTTCCAACTTCTATCATAAGAAAAATGATGTTAGTAATGTTAATCTTGAAAAAATTATTGAAAAATTGTAATGTGCCTAAGCTGGATAAAAACTTATCATCATCACTAGAAGGCAAACTTGACTATGAAGAACTACTTGCAACACTGAAGTGTTTGAAAAATGATAATAGCCCCTGTTCCGATGGCTTTACTGCTGAATTTCTTAAATCCTTTTGGTCAGATATCAACAAAATTTTAATCCGATCTATAAATCAATCATATGATAAAGTTGAATTGTCCATAACTCTAAAAAGGGGACTTATTACTAGCATTCCAAAAGGTAACAAACCAAAAATGTTTTTAAAAAAATGGAGACCTATCTCACTTTTATCAGTTTTTTACAAATTTACAAAATAGCTTCCCTTGCTATCTCCAAAAGAATTAAATCTGTGCTCCATATATTAATTAGCGACAACCAAAAAGACTTTATGTCTGGTAGGTACATCGGCGAGATAACGAGATTATTTATGACCTTATGGAATACACAGAATCACACCAAATTCCTTGGACTACTTCTACTTATCGACTTTAAAAAGGCATTCGATACCGTTGACTGGTCCTTCATAGATAAGACACTAGCTTTTTTCAATTTTGGACGATCAATACGTTCGTGGTTCATGACATTATAAAACGGGATAGAACCCAGTGTACTTGTAAATGGTTATGGTTCGCCTATGTTTGATATACAAAGGGGATGTCGTCAGGGTGATCCACTCTCTCCATACATATTTATTGTCTGTGCAGAGATTCTTGCCGTAATGATAAAAATATATTTATATATATATGTCAAATGGGTAACAATAGACATTGTAGAATTTCTAATCAATCAGTTTGCAGACGATACAACATGTATTTTAGATGGTTCCCAACAATGTCTCTTTGCTGTGTTTAATGTATTAAACGTCTTTGCGAGATTTTCAGGTCTAAAAGTTAACATTGAAAAAACGCGTCTCATATGGATTGGATAAAAAAAAACGCTCAAAAATGAAATTATGCCCCCAACTTAATCTCAATTGGGACCAAAGTGACTTTGACCTTATAGGACTTACATTTACCCAGGATCTTGATGATATGACAGTAACAAATTATAAAGAAAAGATTAGAATATGTGAACGGTTAATGTATATTTGGTCAGCC